ATTCTGTGTATGGAGTTACCTCTATGTTATCATGAAAGATCAGTTGAGGAATTGTTCTCGGGCATTGGAAGAAAGTGGAAGGACAAATCTGTTGGTGGCAGACTGTATTGGGTTTGTGTGGTAAGGTTTTGGTAGTGAAGGGCAGGGCGACTACAGAGGTGGTTTCTGTGAGAAGCTGTTGGATGCTTCCCCTATGTCTGAGAGAGCCAATGCCAGCCAAGATGGACCTGCTACTGACCAAGGCCAAGCCAATCAGCCATGGTGGTAGCACCTCTGTAATCACATATTTAAGGGGAAAAAGTTGCTGTGCAACAACAATAGCACCCAGAGGAGGAAAGAGTAAGAATATGTGAGTAAAGCAACTCTGCAGACACCAAGGTCAGTGAAGAATGAGGAGGAGGAGGTGCTCCAAGCGCTGGAGCAGATTCCCCTGCAGTCCATGGTGAAGACCATGGTGAGGCAGGCTGTGCCCCTGCAGCCCATGGAGGTTAACAGTGGAGCAGATAACCACCTGCAGCCCATGGAGGTTAACGGTGGAGCAGTTATCCACCTGCAGCCCATGGAGGACTCCATGCCAGAGCAGGCGGATGCCCCTAAAGGAAGCTGTGATCCCGTGGGAAGCCTGTGCTGGAAGAGATTTGCCGGCAGGACTTGTGACCCTGTGGGGGACCCACACTGGAGCAGTCTGTTCCTGAAGGACTGCACCCCACAGAAAAGGCTCACGCTGAAGCAGTTTGTGAAGAACTGCAGCCTGTGGGAAGAACCCACATTGGAGAAGTTAGTGGAGGACCATCTCCTGTGAGAGAGGGGCCTCACGCTGGAGCAGGGGAAGAGTGTGAGGAGTCCCCGCCCTGAGGAGGAAAGAGCAGCAGAGACAATGTGTGATGAACTGACTTGCAACCTCAATTCCCCATCCCCCTGTGCCACTCAAGTGGGGAAGGAGGTAGAGAAAATGGGAATGAAGTTAAGCCCAGGAGAATGGGGGAGAAGGTATCCTAAGATTTCATTTTTATTTCTCATTATCCTACTATGATTTCGATTGGTAATAAATTAAACTAATTTCTCTAAGATTAGTCTGTTTTTCCTGTGACTGTAATTGGTGAGTGATCTCTCCCTGTCCTTATCTCAACCCATGAACCTTTCATTCCATTTTCTCTCTCCTGTCCAGCTGAGGAGGTGAGTGATAGAGCAATTTTGGTGGGCTTCTGGTTGCCCTCGGAGGCAGGGAGAGAGTGACTAAGATTCTGCACATCCCCTCAGGGTAAATTAAGGTGAAACAGCACCAAATAATCAATGGAATGTTTTATTTATAACGTAAACAATTTGAACTTGGAAAATGTGAAAATGCTGGCAATATGCATTGTTACTGGAAACCTTTATAAGAAGAGGGAAAAGAAAAGAGACAGGAAAGGTAAGAGATAAGGAAAGATACCACCACCCTTGGATCCTGCAATGATTCCTCAATTACAATGATGGGCAATCCTCTGCTGGTGGGTGCACACATGGCTCCCTGAGTCAGTGCCTTTTGTACAGTCCAGTCCCTCCAAGACTTAGGTAACTCCTGGTCTGCTGCACAGGTGCCATTGTGGGGGGTGGTTGTGAGCCCCTTCTCTAAATAAACTCCAGGTGACCCTTGGCCATATACAGCGAGCTGTCTTGCCTGGCAACACACAAATGGGAGTCCTCCCACAGATAGAGCCTCCTGGCTCCCACATTTAACACTTAATCTTCCTATGCTTAACACTTAACCACATTGATAAGCAGAACTTGCAGAGCCTGTATTTTAACATAACATACAGGACCTATCTTGCCACAATGTTTGAGACATACAGCAACTCTCTCACACTGGTGTCCAGCCAAGGTCAGCCCCCCACAGTCTCCTGCATGCTGACCAGAACACACTCATTCCAGTTATTCCCATGGGGAAATGTCTCTGTAAAGTCTTACTCTGCAAATTGTGGCAGGCAAAGTCCTAGATGATGCAGGCAGGAACATGTGAACAATTACAGCATTGGCAATAATTGGGAAATGAATGACCCTGTGCCTTAATGAAGTTTTGTTTACTGGCATGGTGGTATGCCATTATTTTTCTCTACCAGGGTCTTACTGATCTTGGCCAACAGCAAACTTTGACAACAGCAACTTGTCGATTTTGGCAATAGAGGATGCACATCCTTGTTTTAAAACTACTGAGTTCACTTGTATCAAGAACATTCCTGAACCTGGCTATTGCAAATTAACTCTTCTTAGAGGAGGTGCCCCATTGCTTCTGGTCCTGGGTCAAAGTCTGCACTATCAAATGGAGAACCAAAACCTGTCAGACAGAGTAGAGCTGCTGTTATTGCCTTGCAGCTGAAGAGCCTTTTAGGTGTGATCAGGTGTGGCTGCTGGGAAGGTTGAGAGCAAAGGTGACTAGAAGCAATTTAGAGAAGCCCTGCTTGGTATTAATAGAAGTCAGATGCATGAAGACGACTCAGCTTGAGTCTCTAGCAATGCAGTGTTGGAAGCTCTGTGAAGATAGTGTCACCTTGTGTTTGCATGTTGTTTCTGGAGCTCCTGCATCCCTTCAACCAGCAGTGCGTGTGGTGAGTCCGGCTTTTGACTTTTTGCTATGTAAAAAAATTTGCTATGGGTGTTACAGACTCTGGAAGGTTGTCCAAGCTTCCTTGGCCTACAGTGTTTTGTAAACAGGAGCTTGAGTGAGCAGCTGAAGGATTCTCACCTAAAGAAATCTAGTTTCTTCTGGATTTGTGTCTTGTGTTTGCTTTCTTGGGTGTCTAGCAGGGCATCAACACTTCATTTCATCCCTGTTATGTGACTGTGATGTCTCTGCCATTGAATTAACTGGTGTGTAAGGCTTAAACTTATGCTGTAGTGTTTCTGCAAGTGGGTAAGTGGCAGGGTCTCTTCTGTGTGGAGTTGCTTATTTGGCCAACAGGATTGGGACTTACTAGGGGAATGGTGGATAAATAGGAACACATACATGTTCTAGAGATATAATTTTATTAAGAACTCCACCTGAAACAGATATTGCCATCACTTAAAATAAAGCTGAGGCTGCCACTGCACTTGGTGAAGTTCTGAAGGCTGAGGCCATCCTGGGCAAAGTACAGGGTTGTATTCCAGGGAAGTGTTAAACAGAGCAGTAACTGCATAGTGACAGAAATGTGTGAAAATGAAAACAAAAGTTGTTTGCCTGCTTCGGATTTTGCCAGCATGATCCTTACCTGTTTCTCATCTGTACACTGCTATGCTTTATAGTCTTAAGTTAGTTCTGGATGGGAAAGAGATTTAGCTGTCAATTTGTGATAAACTCTAGGTCACCAGTTCCATTGCCAAGACTTGGTTTCACTCACTTTGGTCACTTAATTTGCTGGCACCAGAGGCACACAGTCCCTCTGAACTATGATTTACGGTTGCTGGCACTTAGACCTCCAAGCAAACTAATGCACAAAGAATAGAAAGACCTTCACCCAGGAATATGCTTAGAAATGGAGTGTAATAAGAGGACAGGACAGATCAGGTGCAGAGCATGGCCAGACAAGCATACTGATCAGCCACTCATTCTTCCATGTTTGTTCCTCCTCAAACTACCTTGTTCTCTCCTTCTTCCTGCTTTTAGTTCCTTTCTTGAGGATCCCATAATAAGTCTTGTACAATCCCCAAATGCTCTTCCTAGTATCACATAGTATGTCCCACATGCCTAGGAAGTAACCCACCTGTGACTTGGACTGCATGTGGACTTCAGGAAACACTTACCATGAGGCTGGCTGCTCACTAGCCCAAGTTGCCCAGAGAGGTGGTGTAGTCTCCATCCTTGGAGATATTCAAAAGCTGTCTGGACATGCTCCTGGGCAACCAGCTCTAGGTGGACCTGCTTGGACAGGGAGGTTGAACAAGATGACCTCCAGAGGTGCCTTCCAACTTCAGCCTTTCTGTGATTCTGTGCAGGTGGGCTTGCCAGGTGAGTAGTCACACTGCCTAGGAGCATTTGCAATGAGAAGACCTGTGAGGACAAAGAAATGCAAGTGAATATCAAGGAGATCTATAGATCCATCTATCCTGCCCTTTTTTGCTTGAGGAAGGATCTCAGATTTATTTTTTTTTTTAAATCCTGGTTTTTCCCCTCCCCCCTTTCTTTTCTATCAGCAGTTAACATAGTAGAGGGATCTTGGCATACATAACTCAGTTATTTTTCAGTAGTCTTGGTGTGTCTCTTTTCATATGAATCAGGCCAAAATTCGATGACTTTTACAGACGGCAAAAAAACCCCAACTTATACACTAGTGATGTGAATTTGAAGTAACGCTTACAGCAATATGTACCTGGCATAACTTAAGATTTCTGTCGCAGGTGGCTGCAGTGCTAGGGAGGTGATTCTGTCCCTCTACTTTGCTCTTGTGAGACCCCACCTGGAGTACTTCATCCAGTTCTGGGGCCCCCAATATAAGAAGGACGTCGAGCTGTTGGAGTGGGTCCGAAGGAGGACCACGAAGATAATCAGAGGGCTGGAACACCTCCCCTATGAGGACTGGCTGAGAGAATTGAGGCTGTTCAGCCTGGAGAAGAGGAGGTTCTGGGGGGACCTTATAGCAATCTTCCAGTACCTGAAGGGGTCCTATAGGAAAGCTGGGGAGGGACTTTTTACCAGAGCAGGTAGCGATAGAACGAAGGGGAATGTTTTTAAACTGGAAGAGGGTAGATTTAAACTAGATATTAGGAAGAAATTCTTCACTGTGAGGGTGGTGAGACACTGGCACAAGCTACCCAGGGAAGTTGTGGATGCCCCCTCCCCGAGAGTGTTGAAGGCCAGGTTGGACAGGGCTTTGAGCAACCTGGTCTGGTGGGAGGTGTCCCTGCCCATGGCAGGGGGCTTGGGCTGGATGATCTTTAAGGTCCCTTCCAACACAAACCATTCTGTGATTCTAAGAGGCCATGAATTGATATACATAAGAAAGAGCATCAGCCTTTAAGGCAGGAGACACTGCTGAGGAGGAGGCATGGGGCTGCAGATGCACTTTTGGAAAGAGACACTTCTGAAGGGACTGTGGCCCATAAAGGACACATACTGGGACAGGGAAACCCTGAGGGACTGTGGCCAGCAGATGGCCCTTGCTGGGACAGCAATGCTGGAAAGTGTGAAGAGGCTTGGTATTTTTTATGGAAAGGAAAGCTCTGTATACTAGTTATTGCTGTGGGTGTTGCTTCATATTCACATACATATACTAGGCATAACTGGGAGGGTTTTGGTATGGTGACCTGCAGGAATAGGCTGTGTGGAAGAGGGCTGTGAAGTGCCCTATACCAGTCACAATTGCTTCCTGCAAGCACAAAAACTGATGGAAAACCCATTTTAATGTATTCTCACATTTCTGTTTAATTAGATTCACAGTTCCCCAGCTGCCAACGATCAGGAAACAAAGAATTGGCTTGCAGTTTATTCCAACTGTCTTTGTGTGTACGTGTGCTTTGTTGCATGACAGGCTTTCTGTCATCTACCTAACAGCCCTGCACTTCCTACAGCATCACCACAGGTGCTTGCTCGGTTCACATGACTCATTACACAAGCCAGTGAGAGCTGAGTGATATCTCTGACACTGATAACTTTTACAGATACAGGTAAGCATGTAAGTGAAAATACCTTTAAGCTGCACCTTATCATCATCAGTTCTATGACTCATTAGACTCTGTTAATTACTTCATCTGAGCAGTCTCAGCTCTCAGTCAAGTAGAGGCAACTTGGAACAGTGCATCTGGAAAGAAGACTCAGTGCAGACCCAGAACCACAGACAAACTCCAACCAGCAGCAGAACTCTGAGTTTCTTTAAGCTTACAATGGCACCATGGAAGAGACCACATAAAGTTGTGCTGTTAATCATGAATGCAGGTTTTGTGTGTTACCTGGTGCACTTTCTGCAAGACCAAAAAAAGGGAAGACTTGATTCCTTGGAAGTTAATCCTCGGTCTCTGAACCAAGAAAATAATATTCTTCAGCGACTGGACCATTTGGACTGGAACATTCATAACCTCTGTAAGTAAAATCCCCTTAATTTTTTGCAGATTTGGTATCTAGGTTTCCTGAAGGATAGAATAATAGACAGCAGCAATAATATTTCTTTCGGTTTCCCTGGACACCTTTGATTGTTTGGCTTGTTTGTCTGGGTTTTTTTTTATTTCTTGTAATCTCAAAAAGATTCGATAGCTTCTTTACTTACACACAAAGCAATAGAGTTTTTCAGAGTCATCATGATTATTTTTTGCATACTAAACAGTCCTTGACCCTGAACTCTTTTAGAATTGTTAAGCAGTTTTAAGGTGGTGCTTGTACCAGCATACTCATCTCGGGCAGCTATTATTCCTGTCTTTATTCTGTTTGCCATAAAAAGCTACTTTTGAGAGGAACTGGAAACGCCCCATTTCCTCAGCTTCTGCTGTGTGGGTGAGCAACAAGGGGAACTGTGACTCACTTGGTCGTTTTCCTTTATGTACCTTGAGCATAGACACAATAGAGCTGCTGTGGGGAAAAGATGCTGGTGAAATTAGCATCACCTGCACGATTAGACTATGCTTTCAAGCAGCATTAGGTGAAATCTGCTGGCAGGACTGTTTCTCTTTCATCCCACGACAGTGAAAGGCCAAGTGCATCCCAGCAGATATGCTTGTATATGAGCAGTATTCATTTAGAAAGGGTCTTTTATTTCTCATGGTGGGGTTTGTGAATTTTGACCTTGTTTTCCGGTATCTGTTGAAGGTTGGGCTGTTGGGAAGTGGGCACAATAGACCCATTTGAATAAAGGCTGAATAATCCACCTCTTTATTTCCTTTGCATTGTTTGATTTCCCACTTTTTCCATGTTGTTTGAATCTAATCAGCTTATGGCAGTGATAGGAGGGCTAAAGCAGCCAGAACTTTGCTGGCTGGCATTGCTTTGACAGTCATGTTGTCCACATCTACGCACATTAGAGCTGGGAGGTACGGTAGGTAGAACAGGAGAAGAAACCTAGAATGTCTCAATCATCCAAGCCTGAAACTAGCTGTTTGAAATGCCACTTGGGGCACCCTTGAACTCAATAAGGAATTTCCCTTCTCATACTGTCACTGTTGCTGCTGACAATGTCTTCACTGGCACCTAGTCTCGTGGACATCTATAGTTGGGCATAGCTTTTGTTGATTATCTTAGAGCCATTTGAAAGAAAGTTAAAGCCTTCACTTCAATGAGTAGTCATGGAATCACATAATAGTTGAGGTTGGAAGGCACCACTGGAGATGGTCTATTCTAATTCTCATGCTCAAAGCATCAACTAAAGCAGGTTCCCCAGAACACTGTCTAGTCAGGGTTTGAATATCTCCAAGGATGGAGACTTAACCTATATGGTCTACTTGTTCTGGTTTTCAGTCACTCCAGCAGTTAAAAATAAAATTAAAATTTTAAAATATTTATTATGCTTAAATGGAATTCCCTGTATTTCAGTTTGTGTTCATTGCCCGTTGTCCTTTCATGAGACACCAGGAGAAGACTCTTCCTCCATCTTTAGTTTTGAATTTATTTTATTTACCTTCAAAAGCAATATGTCCTAGACAGCCTTACACAGGCTATCTGTGCCTTTTCATTATGGCACAGAATTGTGAACCTAACAAAATCTTGAGAGATTAGGGCTCACTCTGTTCAAATATTTCTGAGCGGAAGTCAAAAGATTCCAGTAAGCTTATTAAGAGAGATGGCAAAGAGCTCATTTACTGTATTTACCTTCCAGACAAATATATCAACAACTTGATTTAGATGGGAATCCCATTATGGATCCTTAATACACTAATGTAGCTCAAGCATAAAATTATGGAAAGTTTTTGAGCATGATTTAACAATTTGTGTTGCTCCTACTCACGGTTTTCTCCACTGATGCCAGCACAGTGTCCCTTACTCATGCTACTGAGAGCAGAATCTGATGCAGGCTGTTGTGAAACGTGATGTTTAAAAACTGTTCTCATGTAGGCAGGAGGGTCTGATGCTGCTCTCATGTGAATATCACTTTAGTTGTAACTTCACGGATCTCTTGACCTGCAGTGTCATAAGTAAAATGTGGCTCAGTTATGATGATGAGTGTGTTGACAATTGCTGTTATAATTAATCCTTCTTTTATTTTCAATCAGCAAAATCAGTGGAAGCATTTCGTAAAAGTATAAAGCAGATAGATCTGAAACTGCAAGATACCTCCAGGTCTGAAGTCCACGAAGCTGATAAAGCAAAGGAGGAAAAGAAGATTGTACGTTTGCTGTACCCAGACTCATTTTTGTTCAAACGGTGGGGTAAAGATTTAAGGGAAGAGGAGCAAACTGTCGCACAGAATTTGTTCTTAAGTTATGGGTATAATGTTTACCTCAGTGACCGTCTACCTCTGGATCGACCTATCAAAGACACCAGATCTCCCAGGTGCAGTATACATTCTCTACATTCACAAGTATACATGAAATTTAAAGGGAAAGGGATTAAAAGGATCTGCATTGCTTTGGATTAAGTTAAAATTATCTACTAACAAATTTGTGCTCTGTTTAGTTTTTTTTCCTATAATTTTCTTCCAAATCTTTGCTCAGACTTGTGATACTCCAAAGGCTGTGAAAAGTCACAGTGTAAAGAAGACACCTAGGAAAAAGAATATAATGCTGACATTATAATTGATATAGGACTTCGAACTGCCAATAAAAAGAGGAAAAACTAACTTTAGTATTCAGAAGGTATGAGACCACCCGATCCGTTTACATTCTATTTAAGCTCCAAAGGCAGGACATCTGAAGCATGCTTTCTCTGGTCTCTTAAGTTGTTTTACATAAGTCTCATATGTGCTGAGATATCCAAAGTGGTGTTTCTTAACTTCCCCTTTGTAAAACCCTCAAAATATAATTGATAAAGTAAACCCCTATGTTGTAAAATTCTGCCCCTTTTTACAAAATGCTTGTTTTTCTTAGCTATGTTGCAGACTAAGTGGGGAATATCTATACTGCTTATTAAAAGATGATTAGAAATCAAAGAGGAGAGGTGGCTGGAAATAATTATTGGCCAGTGAGTCTCATGAAGGGTGAGGGACGATTCAGCACTTGAGCTGAATTGCTGGCACTCCTATGTATCATATTTCAGACATAGCCATAATGGACCGGTGACCTTATGAGCTTCCTTATAGCCTTATTTTTCTTTCTGTACTTCCCTCAAGCTAGCAAAGAGTCTGAGGATTAACTGCATGAAAAACATAGTGGGGTAAATAAGATTTAGGTAAGCCATTCACTTCATAAAAGAACCCTCAAGGGATTTTTCCAGGAATTAGCTGGTTCTTGAATCCAATAGATAATATTTTTTTAATGCAGACCAGTGGTACCATGGGAGCTGGCATAAGTAACTATTAAAATCCTCATTAGGAACAAGTATATGTTAAAAAAGCAAACACTTTTTTTTTGTATAGTATAAAAGGATACACAGTTTATTGCAAAAGATAATAGTAAGCTTTACAGGGATTAACTGGTGTAAACATGGGAGAATGTCACAGAGATACTGCAAACCTATACCTTTGTATCTGTGGTTGCTTGTACTAAATCTGACAGAGCATTTCCAAAAAGGATGTTGGGAGCAGAGTGGATTGCAAGCGAGGCGTGAATTAACAATGTCGCACTTGGGAAAAGGGGAGTTGTCTTACTGGCAGCCCTCTGGAAGATGTAAAGAGCAGGTTATGCAACTGGTTCCTCATCGTACTGCTTGGATGGAGCTCGTTCCATCTAGGGCAGACGGTAATGCATTGCCCTTGACTGTGGGTGTCCTCTGGGTCTTGGATCAAGCCTTAACTCTGGCACGTAATGACAGTTTGCATGCACTCCTTGGTTCACAGTGTCTGAAGCCGAGTGAGGGCTGTGTAGTAGCTTCCAGAGTGAGTTTAGGGGACTTTCTGTGCAGCATGTTTTGGGGTGCTCAGGCAGAGGGTGTGAAGTTGTGTGAATGTGTGTAGGGCAGTGTTGCAGAGGAGACAAGGTTGAGACAGGCTTTTTGCAGTGGTGAGCCAGTCACAAATCCTCTTGAGGCAGCCCTGAGCCTAACAATCCCCACTCTACTGGGGGATAGTTTTGGAGAGGTGGCTGGAGCAAATCACAGGACGGTAGGGGCTGGAAGGGACCTCTTGAGGTCACCTAGTCCAACTCCCCTGCTGAAGAAGGTTCACCTACAGCAGGCTGCACAGGTTGGCATCCAGGTGGGTTTTGAATGTCTCCAGAGAAGGAGACTCCACAACCTCTCTGGGCAGCCTGGTCCAGTGCTCTGGCACCCTCACAGTAAAGAAGTTTTTCCTCATGTTCAGGTGGAACTTCCCATGTTCCAGTTAGTGCCTGTTGTCTCTTGACCTGTTGCTGGGCACCACTGAAAAGAGTCTGGCCCTACCCTCTTGACACCTGCCCTTTAGATATTTTTAAGCATTGATAAGATCCCCTCTCAGTGCTTATAAATATCTAAAATGCATGATTAGTCTATGTGGTCCCAAAGAATGGGTGCAGTGCCTGGTGCTTTTCTGCTTAGCATCATAAAGAAACAGAAACACATCCTAAAGATTTATTTTCAGAGACTGCCTTTGCAGATATTATTCATCCAGGCTCCAGTGCTAATGGGGAATAAAGCTAATGGACAAATTCCAACAAAAATGCATTCTATTTGTGCACAACTGCCACTGTAGAGTTCTACCTGGAGTATAAGCCTGGCTTTCAGAGAGCTGCATTAGGTAGCCACCCAACTCACAGTCTGAGTATTGCTTTTATGAACATGTTTCTAAGGGCAGGGAATGATCAGCCTGAGAATGCAGCTATGCTCTGTTGTCTGCTCTAGAGGGAGTTAGTGCTTAGCACTATGAAGAAGACCTAGTCCTCACCATCTGCCTGGTGGCCAGGGTGTTAATTAGCAGATATTCCAATATATATTCCCAATATATACTTAAAAAAAAGAAAATCTTTTGATAGCAAGCAGGAAGTACAGACATGTTCAAATAGCACAAAATGAGTTTGTTTCAGTACTTGGAACAATTTATTCTGGAGTAGCATAGAGTTCCACAAAGCCTGGCTTACTCTGTAAGAAGGATTTTTGAAGCGCTTTCAAGAATTTCCAAAGAGATTCCTTGTCCAAGGGAATCCTTATTACATGTCAGTTTAAAAGTGTAGCTAGACCTAGCTTGTTTTTCTTCACTGAACATATAAAGGGATTATTATCTAATTTGATTTTATCTACTGCCAACTTTGGACACTGTCATAATCTCCTGTAAATGCAAAAAGTCAAATTTCACTCACATGTCCACTGCCTAATCACTGTAAACTAATCATCATTGGATGAGTTAACTGTATTCTTTAATTTTAATATTTTATAACTATTTTGAATTGAGAAACAGTAATTGTTGTTGTTGTTGTTTTAACAGAAATTTAAATTTTACCCCAATGGTTGATATACATACAGAATGCAGTTCAAATGAATAATGAAACTTGGATTTGGGAATTCCTTTTTTTCTACTTTTATGCTGATTTTTGCTATATGTTTTAAGCCCATCATCCCAATTCTGCATTCTTGCAGCTGCCTTGCTTTCTAACTTTCTCTAGAAACTGTGCTAAAGTTGTTTTTCTTCTATTACAGCTGTATAATGAAAACATATCCAAAAGACCTTCCAACACTCAGTGTTGTACTTATATTTATGAATGAGGCACTGTCAATCATCTTACGTGCAATTACTAGTATAATTAACCGAACACCATCTCATTTATTGAAAGAAATCATCCTGGTAGATGATTACAGTTCAAACGGTAAGTGACCCAGGGAAGTCAGGAACTTTGCTAATTTAATGCCACAATGCCTTTTGGGTGCACACAGAGTAGAGTGCTCAAAATTAAGAAGTAAATTGAGTAAATGAGAAAAACAAGTGCAGCTCAGTAGCCTGAAAAAGGACAGCCGAAAAGTTTAAAAATTGGAGTGGGACAGTATTTATCATCAGGGTCTCATCAGGCACGGTACCAAAGTGACAGTATGCTAAGAAAACTATCTCTGTAGGTATCTGAAATAGTTCACTGAAGAGTGGTGTCTTGGGTTGTGGAGAATACTTTTGGGGAAGCGGTGGGTGCATTGTTGCTCTTAAAATTGAGCTGAACACAGCACTGTAAAATCATCTGTAAGGAACAATCATGACCCCGAACTTAAGGGTGGTCTTTTTTTTTTTTTTCTTCCTTGCCTGATGACATGTGTTTGATTTCTCATTTTTCTAAGACTTTGTAGCTGCTAGAAAAACATGTCAGTTTGGGTGGAGCAAAAATTTAAATGAATTTCCAAAATGATGTGAAGAGGTCCCAACTTTCTATTCCTTTTCTGACACTATTTTTTTCTCTGGTGAGGGGGTTGGCATGCCTACAGTTCTTACAGGAGCATTTCACGTTCTCAGGGCTTGTTTATCTTCTCTTTTCCACATGGTAGAAGATGCACACAGAAATTACTGCACTAAGACAGCTAGTTGGTTGCTGTTGTGGTGCACTTCTAAAGTTTCCACATACTGATGTGTTTGTGTACGGTTTAGAAGCCCTATAATAGCACTATATGTAAATGAAATTGAGGTACTTAACTAAATTATTGGAATGGAAGCTGGTTTTAAAAACAAACCTCTTGATTTCATCAGTACCTGAATAACGCCACCTGTTCTATTGGACAGAACAAATCAGTTTTCAGTCTGGAATGGGGAGAAGATAGAAAGTCATTACCTACATGATCTTTTCAATTTCTTAGTATTGATAACTCCTTTCTTAACTTTTTTTTTTTTTTAAATCATTCAAATGGGGGTGCTGGTTTTAGATGATCTAAAAGGACCTTTGGAAACACGCATCAAAAATTATGATATAAACCATCCTGGACTGCTGAAGATTATCAGACATCAGAAAAGACAAGGCCTAACACAAGCCCGGATTTCTGGCTGGGAGGCATCAACTGCAGATGTTGTTGCAATTTTGGATGCCCATATTGAAGTGAATACTGCATGGTAAGATTACGAAGACTGGGGGGGTTCTGAAGTGGGGAGAGAGGAATAGACAAGGAGTGTGTAACTGTGTAGCTGGGACAGGCATCCCATATACGGCTCTCCTTCCTGGCCTCCCACATGTTAATTAGCAGCTACCAAGTCATTTACTTCTGAGAGTAAAAGGGATAAAATTGTTTGAAAGAAATAGCAAAGCAGACAGGTAACAGAATAAGCTGTTTAGTGAAGAGGAAGAGAGAAAGGCCTACCTTTTCTAGATATTTATTACATTTCTAGGAAAAAAGATGTCACACAGGGAAATAACATAAGAATGATGCAGGTTGTTTAGTTCCACTGCCAGCAGTTTTGGCCTTTGTTGAGTATATTACACAGCCATAATACCCAATGATTTTTTAAATTGTTTTGATTCTTATTACAGCTTTGACTAATATTTATTTACTGGTGCCTGTTAGTTTAATAGTGACTTGTAGTTCTGCAGGACTCTTTTTGCAAAGAGAGACAAAACAAGTGGCTGATGGTCGATACTTACATTCTGTTAGATAGCGATGTCTATGGTGGTAGTTTGTGTCAAACCTCTTTTACATCCTCTCCCCTCTGGGTTGTTGAATTCACTGGCTGACTATTTTCCATGTTGTCTTCTTTTCTGGGAGCAAGGTTCTTCTCCCAGCCATTCTTAGGCCAAAATGGCTCTGTGTGGTCCAGATTTTTCTTTGTCTTTCAATAACACACTAACTAACACACTCTAGCTGTTACAGTCCTAAAGTCAATACTGGAGTCCTATAGTCATGGCTTTCAGGACTCATTACGATAGGTTGGGCTGTCAAGAGTATGTAAGGAAAGATAAAGTCAGTTCTTCCAGGCCTAACAACGATTTGGCTCCAGCAAAAAGACACCCCCTGTTGGAGTCTGATACTCCCTGACAAGGTTCTTTTAGATATTCCACCTGAGGAGGGTTTAGTGTTTTAATGCTAAATTTACTTATTTGAAGGTACACAGGATTTTGGTTTAGAAAAGTGATACAGCAATATACTGAAATCACATGAGCACAATATAGCAAATGCTATATACAGTTGAATCACGATACAAACAGGATTCATATTACTGCTCTTTATATGCTCACTGTCAAGATCTTGGGCATCTCCAGTTGCTGGAAAGGAAATACATGGATTGAACCAACTCAAGTGCATTGTTGTCTTCAAAGTTCATTTTGATGGGTACTCAGGTTTTTCTACCCTGTGTTGGTCTGAGCCACATAAACACTTCTATGTTGGTCTGGCTGGGTCAGAAAGATAATACTTTCTATTGATTATTTTAGGAAGACCGTGTACATAACCAGTTGACCCAGTCAACTGACACCACCATTTATCTACAACAAGGGCCACCCTCCAGTCCCCTTGGTGTTGGGATTAGTTCAGCTACTTTTGTGATAGCTGTAGTCATTCTCTACATTCCTCTTTGAGCTTTGTGAGCACATCATCCTTGCCTACCTTCTCTAAGCCTTCTTCCATTGTAGGAGTTCACTGATTGGTCACCGCAGCTGTGCCATCAATACACAGGAGAAAGAAGGTGAATGATCAACCTCAGGGCTTACAGCACCTTTTGGGGTTTCTTTCCTTTCCATTCCCATTCCTTATCTCTTCATGCAGATAGTGAAGACTCTCTAGAGCCTGTAGGAAGCAGACCAGATAGCAATAAACTCAGAAAGTTAACTATGGAACTTATGGTTAGTATTAGTGACAGTCAAAATGCAGAAGGTGCCTAGCAGAAGGGAGAACTGAGCCATGGCATTAGCCATTTGGGTTACTAGCACTTCAAGACTAAATTTTTGTAGAGGCCAAAGTCAATGACTTAAATAAACTATCTGACCCAGTTTTAAAATCAGTAAAGTTTAGTACTGTTCATTAGATTTCTGCTTTTTCAAGATGAATAGACTCTGTTTGTTAATTTTGGTAGGGCTGAACCTATTTTGTCTCGAATAAAAGAAGATCGCACTGTTATAATATCACCAGTATTTGACAATGTTCGTTTTGATGACTTTGAGCTTCTTCAGTATTCACCGGCTGCAGATGGATTTGACTGGGCACTCTGGTGTGCTTATGAAGCTTTACCAGCTGACTGGTATGCTCTTAAAGATGAAACAGCTCCCATCCGGTAAGTATGAATAGCATTTGAGAGTAAGCCAAGGTACATGATATCCAATATAGAGATAGCAGAGGAAAGATGTTTCATAGGTGGTGGTATAGATAACTACGAAGCACATTATATCTAGGTAGCTGGTTTGGAAGTGTGGGTTCTTCAGCAGCCCTGAGTATCTCGGTATACCAGTTTCATTGCTGTATTACTGAATCTGCCCTGTGCAGATCCTGCTGTCAGGTTTTCAAGCAATACTTGTGTCATTGATTATTCTGTCTTATGTTCTTTAGATAGGAGTGTAGTAGCATATATATTGACAACACAAGATGGACTGTGGCCCCTCTCCATGCTTGCCCAAGGATATGAATGAATCTTACAACTTTGCTGGACCATTGCATCGAGTCTGTGAGGACTCGCATGGATTCAAGTTGTGCTACTTTCTTTAAAGATCCTGATGTGACATGATTACAGTGATCCTGGGCAGCCTTTTTCTACCTTTACTACTTCTGTGTCACACAAAAGCAAGAAAAATACATGAACTTGATGCACACAGCTGCTATACCTACAGTGACCCCTTACTCCTAGGCTTAGGTTCCAATATATTTGCTTCTGTTTCTGATACCTTCCTTATCTGCTCAGATTAGTTTATGTATTCAACACAAGATGGTTACTGGCACTGTGATACCAGGAGCCATCTCATGATGAATATATAACTTCATTTGTTTCCTTATTCTACAAGGATGTCAGATGTTATTGACTGTCCCTTAGCCATCCACTAAACAATATTAGAAAAACTAATGAGAGAAGATACAGTCATTAGATTTTTTTAGTCCTATCTTATTTTATTGAGTTTATGTGACAAGATTTTATTAGTGTGGAAGTTGGAGGGGTGGCTTCTGTAAAAAGAGGTTGAATAAAGCCTGATCCAGCTGGCTTCAAAATGGGCATGGCCAAAGCTGAGCCAATCAGCAATGCCGGTGGTGCCTCTGCAATAATGTCTTTAAGATAGGGTAAAAATACTGCACAGCAGCTGTGAGTGAGAGGATTGAGGAAGAAATATGAGAAAAACAGCCTTGCAGACACTGAGATTAGTGAAAAAAGAGGTGGAGGAGGTGCTTCAGGCGCCTGAGCGGAGATTCCCCTGCAGCCTGTGGAGAAGACCATGGTGAAGCAGGTTGCCCTGCTGCAGCCTGTAGAGGACTATGCCAGAGCACTTATCCACAAGGGGGGATGGAGGGAAGGTGATTTAGTTTTGTTTTTATCTCTCACTATCCTCCTTTATTTTAGATTAGCAATAAATTAAATTAGTATTCTACAAGTTGAGCCTATTTTGTTGGTAATGGTAACTGCTGAGCGACTTTCCTATCCTTATTTTGGCCCATGAGCTTTTTCATCTTATTGTCTTCCTCTATCTTGATGAGAAGGAGGAATGAGAGATCAGCTTTGTGGGTGCCTGATGGCAGCCAGCCAGGGTTAACTCAATACACTTCTTTTTATAAAGGGCTTTAAAATTTACAGTGCAGATCTTGAGGACAAAAGGCACTGTGAAAACATTTGAAAATAATGTACTGTGTTTGTCAGATGATATTGCAGATTTCTTCATTTGTATACTGCTACATCTGGCAGCCAAGCATTTGAGATAAGGCTGTATAGATACCTAGATAAGGAACTATGGTGAACATGTATGTGTTCAAAACATTATGTAGTGAGCATTAATGGTTTGGGTAGAAGAACGGAGTGAAAGCAAGCCAAACGTAGGCTAAAGAATGTTTCACATGGGAGTGTCCACAATTCTTAAGGCCAGAGGAAACTGAAATGGGTTTGGCCATAGAGAATGGGGATATCAAAAGAGCACCAAATGCCCTTTCATTCTCCTTTCCCTCACCTCTAGGATGGATTAGTCTACAGAGGATTTTGTCCTGCCAGACAGTTGTCTCATCTCTCTTTCAAAACCTCAATTGACAGTGATTCTACAATCCCTGTTGGCAACGGGCTTTAGTGTTTAAGTTTGCTTAAAGTTAGGTAGTGTTAGTTCACACTTAAATTTTCCTTTCTGCAGTATAATCTGATTTCTTTCTTATTGTTTTAAATATGTGAAAATTGTTGTTACATCTCCTCTCAAAATAGATCTAATTCTTTAAAAAATACTATATCATGCTTTTTAGACCATTGATAAAGTTTATTTGCTATCTTCAGGATTCTTTAAAGTTGATACACTTGTTGTTCTGAATTAAATGTTATTCTCTTTCATATACGACTGGAGACCCAGAAACTCAAGATGTGATTGATGGCTACTTGACTTTATTTTATTTCCATCATTGTTGCTTCTTTCTGTTTTTTACTTGTTTGGTTGTCCAGGAGCCCATCTATAATGGGGATTTTTGCAGCAGATAGGAAATTTTTGGGTGAGATTGGTGTACTGGACAGTGGAATGCACATATATGGAGGAGAAAATGTGGAACTTGGCCTGAGGGTAAGCCTATTTTTTTCATCTTTTTCAGAAAGACAGTGAAAACTAGGATGTCATGTTTTTGAAAGCACTCAAGCCACTGGTTATTGTCCAAAGCATGGGTTAATATTTCAGAACAATTCTGTTTTATTTTGCATACAAAAGAGAAGTGACAGATTTCCAAAAGTGTTTAATGCTCATTACCAGGCTTTTGTTGATACTTCTTAAGAATTTTGACTCCTGACACAAAAATCTAATTCAGTGAGGAAATACTGAATCTTGCAAGATGTGGTTCTTTGTAGAAATTTGAGGTATATGTCTCTTGGCTCACCAGAAGGTTAAGATAAGATCAAGTTAAAGGAAGTTGTGGATTAAGGGAAATTCCAGTTTTATCTGGAGTGTCTTTATTGATTAGGGAACATGTGAGAGCACTAAAAGGTCTACTGATGAGTATTTTTTTAAAGTAATGATGGTTGGAGACATTCTAGAAGACCTGAGAAGAAAAAAAAATTAACATACCACTTACCTCTATAAAGAGAAAGGATGGTAGGAAATAAGAATTTTAAACCTGTTGCAAGATTTAAATGTCTAGGAAAAAAATATTTGATTATTCTCTTTCTCTGTAAATATGAAAATTAAGATGATTGAGGGAATGGAGCATCTCCCTTATGAGGAGTGGCTGAGGGAGTTGGGTCTTTTTAGCTTGGAGAAGAGGAGACTGAGGGGTGACCTCATTAATGTCTATAAATTTGTGAAGGGCGAGTGTCAGGAGGAAGGAGCCAGGCTCTTCTCAGTGATGTCCAATGATAGAACAAGGGGCAATGGGAGCAAGCTGGAGCATAGGAGGTTCAATCTGAACATGAGGAAAAACTTTTTTACTGTAAGGGTTACGGAGCACTGGACCAGGCTGCCCAGAGAGGTTGTGGAGTCTCCTTCTCTGGAGACATTCAAAACCTACCTGGACGTGTTCCTCTGCAACCTAGTCTAGGTGATCCTGCTCTGGCAGGGTGGTTGGACTGGATGATCTTTCGAGGTCCCTTTCAACTTCTAATATTCTGTGATTCTGTGATTCAGTGAAAACTAGGGTATTTTGAAAGAAGTCAGTAACCAGTTTCAAAATTAACGTGAGGAAGAGATATTCCATTCTTCTAGTAGCAGGCCAGACCAACAGATTGAGAGCAGAGCTCCCTCCAGAAAGTATTGTGGGTTTTAAATACTTGCAGTCATTTGTGAGGAGACTGAACAGTTATGGTATACAAACTTACTCAGAGTTAGTAAGTTATGGTATACAAACTTACTCAGAGTTAGTAAATAAAAATGAATCACAAGAATTTGAAAAATGTCCCCTGACCTGAAAATAATCAGGAGATATGAGAGTCTTGTTCCTAACCTTCTCCAGGAATAAGTTTGCAGTTACTGTAGGATACAGTATACTAGGGTAGATGGACTGCTGGTCCAGTATGGACAATTTCTCATATTCTTACAAGTTTTCTTTTTTCATTCTGGCATCTATTAATAAGCACATAAAAGAAAATACAGACAATATACATTTGTCTGAACAAATCATGTTAAACAAGTCTAGGGTTGTTTTTTTTTCTATAATAGGGTAGCATGCTTTGTGCAAAGAAAACCAGCAGTAATTAGGAGAAACATGAATAATAAACAAATACAGAGGTGTAGATTGAGGAATGTCTAGCTAGAAAAGAACAAGGAGTAACAGACTTTGTATGCTTCAATATGGCCATGCAGCTGGATGGGAAACGATGGCATTGATGATCCTTCTACTTCTAAGTTCTCTTCTGGAGTTGTATTTTGAGTTCTGGGACTGTACATCAGGAAATACATGGAGTAATTGAATAATCTGAAAGAAAGAGAACAAACAGTTCCTGCAATATGTGACAATTTAGCAGAAATAGGCTGAAATGAGTTTTTCTTTTTATTTGTAGAAGAGATGATTAATAGGAAATAAAGTAGCACAGCCTTCCAAACATGCTAAATCCTATGTTAAATAAAGCCCCTGTGTGATAGGCACTAATCCAAGGCATGTGGACGTACTAACTTGGGTTGATTTTAGAAGTTGACACATTTCTCCACTACTTGCGGTGTACATGGCCAAAGACTTCATGCTTCAGATTCTATCTGTGAGACTGAAATGTCCCATGTCATTACTTCATGTCTTGTGAGTCAGGTTGTGGATTAGTATTTCAGTTCTGTTGCTTGAAGAAAAACATTTACACTTTATTCTTTATTGTCCTGCACCATTCACAGTTGTGAATGTGTATGTCTACTCTGCAGTCATTTACACAAGTTCTGGAGGTGAAAACAATGGAGAATTGCTTCAGTTAAAACAAAAAGCTGCTCTGAAAATAGACTGTAAAAATAGTATCGAAGATCTCTGTTTATTTCCATCTTGCAGGTTTCTTGTGTCAAAAATACTTGGTTAGCATGCAAGCTGCCTCTCATGTTTTTCTTTAGCCAGCTGCCAGTAGTGGAAAATTTAATGTGAACGAATTCACTAGCACATAATGGAGCACTGTGCTATGATCACTAAACTAGGACAATAAATCTGCATTATGTGGTGCCATGTGGACTTGCCAGCTTGAGTTCAGTTCTGCATAGCTGCTTGCCTTTTGAAGAGCTTCCACATTTACACTGGTTCATGTATAATCAGGTTGGGTGTGTTTGTTCTGGACCTTCAGTACTTTTGAAGCGTTGACTGTGGCCTGCTTAGGTATGTCTTTGAATTTCATGTAGACATTTTCCAGGAATCTACCGGATTTTTTTTTATTTTATTTTTTTTTTTAATTCTACCTGGTGTGTAAAGTTTTACAGGACCAGTTTTGTTCTTGGCATGTCTTGGATGATGTCTCTGCTTCTGAAGGATGCAGCTCCATAACCATCATAGTGGTTAGCAGTCTAGCTCCTAGTGAGGTCAGTTGGGAGAATGTACCAGTTTACCTTAGTGCTTTTATGCCAATTCATCTGAGTGTTTTGTCACAAGAAACTGGTGAGTAGTTTTGAAAATGGTGATGGCAAAGAGAAAGATAAAAGAACATGCTTTTACTCTCCTGGACCTGAGACAGGGCTACACACAGTGGAAACGAAAGGTATTGAAAAATTATTTTCATTTGCTCAAGCCAGGCTATAGAGCCTTGAATTCTGAAGGCATGCCAGTTCATCTGGTGAAGGAGGAGGGGGAGCAGAAATGGGAGCACTTTAACAGAAAGTGTAAAGAGTTTGAATAAATAGGCAACTTTACCTCAACTTCTGTCTTCTTGACCTAGGCCTGGCAATGTGGAGGTAAAATAGAAGTGCTTCCTTGTTCAAGAATCGCTCACTTGGAAAGAGCTCACAAGCCCTACTTGCTGGACTTAAGTGTTGCAATGAAACGCAATGCCTTGCGGGTAGCAGAAGTGTGGATGGATGACTACAAGAACATGGTCTACTTTGCATGGAATCTTCCAATTGAGGTGGCAGTGTTTTAATGTGTTTCAAAGTGTTTCCAAAGTCTAAAAGTTCCAAAGTGGTCAAATAAGAGCATGTAGTCATACAAAAAGAAGCATAGTGTGGTTATAAGAGTCACTGTGGGGAAAAAAAAATTAAAATATTGGTTAATACTTATTGATATGGATGGCATCCAGCAGCCATGATAATAGACATGTTCTTCTTAGGCTCAGACCAAGAGATGATGCCTAGCTTAAAGAATATAAGATGAAATCTTTCAAAATGTATTTTAATTTTTTTAGGAAAAGTAGGAAATATTTTACCTGGGATATTCATAATTTTGCATGAAAGAACATGTCCTTGAATATCTTTTAAATAAGCAAAATTGAACTTTAAATAGAGAATTCAAATATTCAATTACTTTTATTCAATTCAATGACTTATTAAATGAGCTCTCTTCTCTGCAGCCCAAAGTTTTGTTTTTGTTTTCCTTTTGTCCTGCACAAAATGGTGAAGGGACTGGAAGTGTCAAGACTAGATCTTTTGAGTATTGATAACTTCATTTAATAAAAAAATACTGCATTAATTTTCCCAGCCTGCACTTCAGTGGTTTTACGAATCTTTAATATAGGAAGAATAGCCTCCCAACTTCTTGTGTTTTCTTAAAGAGATATTAAAGAAACAAAATGTATAGTGATATAGCAGAAATCAAAACTTCAGAAGAATTCACTTTCCTTCCCCATTAGTTAACTTTTACTGTAAGTATTTGGAATTTTTCATCTGGAAATGCTAGTCATCAAAAACTAAGCTGTTAGTAGGAACACAATTATTAGTTTTAACTTTTTCATCTTTAATGACCCCTTTTCTCTGGGATATATTATTCTTTTTGAAATTCCTAACCTAACTGATTTGGGTCACAGACTGCATTTTACAGAACTGCTTAAAGACAGGGTGTAAGCTCCTGTTGGGTTGATTTCTGTCAAAATTTCCTGCTGGAGCTCACCCACTTAGCATAAGATATTACACAGTCTTGGAAACAACTGTTTGAATCTTGATTGCTCCCACATGAGATGAGCGTCACTGTCAACAGACTATTGATCAAACTAAGGTTGTTAACAGGCTCTGTCTTATTTTTTTTTTTGCTTTGAGCTAGTTGTTTGGGCTTTTTTGTCAGTATGAAAACTATTTCCTATCCATATCTAACTTTGATATTCTTTATATTTATGAAGTCATAACACATTACTTTTTTCTGTAATTTATTGGCACTTCTAGGCAAAAGTTCTGAAATTTTAAAAAATTTAGTTTGTTTTTTTAATGAACTTTTAAATATTTTTTTGTTATGACTAGACAATATGGAGAAATAAGGCTGTATTTTCCCTAGTTTATCAGACCATCTTAGTGTTATGAAATTAAATATGTTGTTCTTGCAGAATCCTGGAGTAGACTTTGGAGATGTTTCTTCCAGAAAAGAGCTGAGGAAAAAACTGAACTGTAAAGGCTTTGACTGGTACATAAAAACCATTTACCCTAATTTAATATATCTTCCCAACATTGTTGGCTATGGAACAGTAAGTATTAAGTCTGTTTATTTGAAATATGGAATAAGTCATTAGCTCTACCGTTATGAAGAACTGTTGTGAATATTGTTTTGTTGATTATGATATATTTTCCTAGGAACTTTAAAAAGACTTTTACAAGTCTTCCTAGATACTGAAGCTTTCTAAAGTCTTTTTAATATTAGTTGTCATTCTAGAACTTTTAAACTGTGGTTATCGTGCATTTACTGATGGGAGCACAACAGTATTTGGGAAAGTGTTTAACATGCTTTTTTTTTTTTACTACATGCAAACTCGTCTATTGACCAACAAGGATGGATCAATAACATCTTGTAAGGGCATGAATTTTTCAGTGGAATAGTATGGATTTTTTTTCCCCTGGAGATTAGCAGGATAATTCGGAAAGCATGCAGACATGAATCAAGATAGCATGTAGTACACTGGAAGTCAGGCCACTATTTGCAAAAGAGAAAACTAATTGTCAGTGCAGTGGCTTCTTAATAGAGGTAGGCATTTTCTAGACTCAAGCTTGTGCACCTTGCTGGAGCTGGGCAGTGGTAGTCACCTGTTTGGAGCTGCCTTGTGATTTCTGACAAGGTGCTGCATGGCACGTCATCGATGAGTCTTCGAAGGAACTGAGATTTTCTTTTGATTATTTTCTGTAATGAATCTTTTCTACAAAGGTAATCTGAGATTTTTCTAAACTCATATTGTATCTTCCATTTCAGGGTTCAATGCAGAGCTCTGAAAAAAAGTAGCTTTGCTCTCAGGACAATTTCTAAAATTTTTGGTGAGGAGTTGAAAACAGGATAGCTGTTCCCTGCAGTAAATATCCTGTTTTATTCTGCAGATGAAAAACACATTGAAAGAAGATATCTGTATTGATCAAGGCCCTGTCCCTGGAAACACACCAATTATGTATCCCTGTCATACATACTCATCACAGGTAATGCAAGCAACTGATCAGATTTTCACATATGAGCTGTTGCTAACTGTTCCTCTCAAGCCTCCACAGGGCCATGAAATAGGCACTTCAAAACTATTACCTCTGTGCTGTCTAAAGGGGAATATTAACCTTTGTTTCGTTAAATTCTGCTCCCCAATGCAACTGGCAGCAGAGCAGGTGGAGTTCTAAGTGCATTAAACTAAGGTTTTTGAGTTAGCGTTGCCAAAAAAATTGTGTGACCTCATGTTGATACTGATGGATCCTGTTGATTAACAGAAGATTGGTGGTATGAATGGGAGAGAACTCTTCCTCGCACCTCATTGCCTGTCCTCTCAGTAGTGCCTGTCCTCTCAGCAGGAGGAAAACTAAGGCTCACCATTCATGCTTATAAAAGCATCTTGGGTTTTTTTCATTGGAAAGGAGAAAGATGTTGAATAGAGTCAAATTCATCCTGGTTTAATTCCTGACAGATCAGTGAATGCTGGTGCTGTGCAGCTGATACATCTCAATATCAGTTTTGGAACTGTCTGCTATCATCTGATGATGAGATTTCCTTGGTAACTTAATTCATTGGTAACTTCACTGACAGTGGTGTCACTTTCTCTTTCAGCACATCTTTTATCACACTACTGGAGAAATGTACATAGGAGGTTTACATGCCCAATTGAATTCAGCTGATAGATGCCTAACGGACCCTGGGAATGAGGACCTGCCAGTTTTAGAGCAATGTGACACAGCTGTGAATAAAGGCCTGAACTTGCACTGGGATTTTAAGCAGGTGGGTGGATTTCTATATCCCTGCTTTTCAATAAGCTTTTCCATTATAATAAATTCTTAGACACTTTCCTTGCAAAGCAGTTTGCTTCTGAATTACATTGTCTCAATTTCAAGACTTGCAGGTGCCACTGCAAGAGCTGTGGCGAAGTTAATTAAGTCTTCAGGGGTGTGTGGTGGTAAAAAACAAAGGAATGGTCACACAGCTGAAGTTAACCGAGTTACCAGAATTTAACCAGTTCTCACTTGCTGTCTGAACCACAGCTACATATTTGTCCTCCAACTGTCTGTCAGTCTTGGTGAAATCGACTTATTTAAGCCTTTTAATTAATGGTTTAAGTCTTTATTTCTAGCTGGGCTGACTAAAACCACTCACTTGCTCAGTTATCACAGCCCAGCTAAGAGGTAGGGAATGTGCAAGCCCAGGTGCCTCTGTAGCTTTTGATGATCTGACTTTACGTTGTGAACACTCTCTCTGCTGTCCGCCATCTGGAGGGAGTCCAGAGAAGGGGCAGAAAGATGATCAGAGGGCTGGAGCACCTCCCCTACGAGGACTGGCTGAGAGAGTTGGGGCTGTTCAGCCTGGAGAAGAGAAGGCTCCCGGGGGACCTTATTGCGGCCTTCCAGGTCCTGAAGGAGTCCAGCAGGAAAGCTGAGGAGGGACTTTTTAGAAGGGCAGGTAGTGATAGAATGAGGGGAAATGGTTTTAAACTGGAAGAGGGTAGCTTTATACTAGATATTTGGAAGAAATTATTTACTATGAGTGTGGTGAGGCACTGGCACAGGTTGCCCAGGGAAGTTGTGGATGCCCCCTCCTTGGAAGTGTACAAGGTCAGGTTGGACCTAGGGCTTTGAACAGCCTGGTCTGGTGGGAGGTGTCTCTATCCATGGCAGGGAGGTTGGACTGGATGATCTTTAAGGTTCCTTTCAAACCAAACCATTCTGTGATTCTATGATCTGTCTTCCCCGCCTCCTCATGGGACTTGTTGGTCTTAGAGGAAAAAGTGGGCTGACACCTTGTCCTGCTCACTCTCTGGTACCATCTTCTGTACCAGCATCTGAACATGGAAATCCTTGTTGGAGATCAGGCTAGTTTCATTCTTTCAGAGCTCAGGTTACAGCCGACGATGAGAGCCTTCAAGCCATGTTCACTCGTCTCCACTTGTGCAGGGTCTATGTGGACATGCTTAAGATCCCAAATGGTACTTTCATATTCTGCATTCAGTGCCTCTGACACAGAATATTACAATACTATCTTAGTCAGCTAGTCTAAGAAAGATACTGCTGTGCTGCTGGGGCAGGATAAACAGGCAGCAGCAATAATGATGGAGGAAGAGGCGGGATGGGAAGCCATGCAGTTTCTCCCCTGTGTTGGTAAAAACCTTGTTAGCTTTAGGTAATTATTAATTAACTGATTTTACATGTAATGTGTGAGTCTGTTTACTGTATCCCTCTCAGTGAAAAACTAGGCAGGAGACTAATCTTGTGAGAGAGTGTTAGAGAATAGAAGTGAATTGGTGAAAGACAAAGGTTTCAGTGATGTGCAACAAATAATATAGACCTAAATTGTCTGGAGAAATTCCGCTAACATGGGGTTTCCTTTATCTTTAGTCTGGTCTATAACTACAAAACTTAGAAAAAGGTGCAGGTATGTTTCTGGAAGATTTAGACTCGCCCTAAAAGTAAACTTCTAGTTCCTTGCATGCATCAAGCATTATCATAGTGACACAACTGGGTGCCTGAATGAGCCGGGTAAGATCCTGTTTACTCTGGAGTCCAACCCCTTAGAAAAATCCTCATTTCCAGAGTGATGACTTGACTTAATCACACCCCACCTCATTCATAGTTGTTGGTAGTGAAATACTGACTTGGAGATAAGAGATGAATATTCTTACCGGCTATTAGCTCTCTTATTTCAAAAGAGAATACAGTATTAAAATTTCCTAAAATGATTTTTCTGAACTTTAAAAAAACCTCAAACTCACAAATAACAAACATCCCCCCCAGTTCCAAAAAATAGACACAAAATAAACCTCTGAATACATTTTAGTATGCCTTGGAGCAAGCTGTCAGGCATTGTTAACCTGAGGAAAACACAACATTTTTCTTTGAGGTCCATGACCTACTAGTTTCTCAGACACATTTGTAGAAGCTGAGAGAATTGCTTCTTGACTGAACACTAAATTTATAAGCCCTCAGCCTCTCTCCTATTTCCTTTCCTTTTGTAGGGATCAGCTGTAATCAACAGGAGCACTAAAAGATGCCTTGAAATCGCAGCAGATGATACAGTTTCACACAGGCTTGTTATCCGGACCTGCACAGGACAAAGGTGGAATATCCAACATACGGTTAAAGACTGGGGAAAGACAGAAGACCTGGACCAGAAGACACAGCACTCAAAGCATTGACTAGAGGACATTTTTCGCTGAAAATTGCTACATTCATAACACATCGCTGAAAGTAATGATTTCAAGAGTTTGTTTACACGGGATTTTACGATGTAGTAGTTATTGCAGGAGCTATGAGCTACTCACAAAAAGGTGCAAGGTAATCTCATTGCATTCTTGGGGCATCAGCTCCCTGAGATTCCTCTATTAGGAGAGGGATTGTCTTTGCTCTCTTTTAATATTGCTGGAGAGAAGCAGTTACGTCTAAGAGTGTTTCAATCCACCTGAGTATATTATGTGGTCATTTGGAAGTGCCTATCTCTGCTCATTTATGAAGGACCTGTGTAAGATCTCTAACTCTGACTGTTCAGTTAAGTATGAAAACTTAGAAGAAACAGAAGTGAGTCTGACTTCCTCTTGTACACAGAGTTTATCTCAGGCTGAATTTGATTACTTTTCTTATTTTGTGTCATACAGATAATGCAAAACTTCTTGTCAAGATGTGCTCATGCTAATGGATGAAATGAAATACATCCTTGTTTTTCTGTCCCTATAATTTGCCTGGACATGATTCAGTTTCTTGGCAATGTTTGTTAGATTCAACAGTGTTCAGCTGTTTTATGTTTACCTATGCAAAGTTGGTCTGAGCCAGCCAGCTGACAGCATGAGTAAAATCTAGTCAAGCCCTGGGAAACAAGGGGATTCAACTCAATGTTTTCCACAAACCAATGGGAGGCTAAATACAGTATGAGTTGCTAATGGGAGGCAACTTCCAGTTAGATGTTGTATGACTTCTTGTAGAAATAGGGTTAGGTGGAACTGGCTGTCTTGCTTCTTAGAATAACCACTCCTAGGGCCTATGCTTATTTGTTAAAGGGAACTCCTATAAAATAAACTCATTGAAACTATATAGAGTTTCAGCCCTAAGTAATTTTCTTATCAAAATGGTGCCAAGCACTGGCAGGGTTTGTTTAACTATAATCCAATATGATTTGTTTTTTCTTTCTAAGTTCTCTGTAAACTTGATGGGAGCAATTTGTCCCTGATATTCAGGAATGGAATTGGACAAACTCTTCTTCAAGGGCAGTCTTTGTCCTTTAAGGTCTCTATTTTTCTCTTCTGGAAACTGATTCTTAAAAATGCCACACTTTACCCAGTGTGAATTTCTAAAATCAACTTTTATTCCCATGTCCTGGGGCAAAGTCAAAAACACTGAAGATTGAGGAATATGTGCTCTGGTTGTTTTCTGTGTCTTCAACAGTGTGTCTTACCAGAGTAAATAAAAAGCATTTATGTAATCACTTTTTCATCTTAACATGGTATTCAGTAGTCTGTAATGGACATTTGAACAATTTTGTTTTGAACTTAGGGTTTGGAAAACATCAAAATGTTCCAGAATGTCTAGATTTTCTGGTTCTTAATGTATGACCTCTAGTTACTCACAGGGGTCAACACTGACACAAAATACTTCAAATATTTTGATTTATCTCAAGTATGAGTTTTTTTTAATTTCCTGAAGCCCCTCCACAATTGTGACTTTTGGCTAATTTTGTAATGAGGAAAGATAGTAGCCTTAAAAGAATAACTCAATTTTCAGACTAGTGTTTTCTGGTGATGCTTGATGAGGCATAAATAACAACTCAATGGTTTTGGTGCTACAGTAGTAGTACATTGCTCTCACTGATGATATATTTGATCTTGGAAATTCACTGCATCATGAAGCAACTGATGCATGATTCCTTGACAATTCAGAAGTAGAGGTAGAACTCTGCTGCCATGGTGTATCAAGGGAAGGCAGTTATGACTGTGGCACAGCATAAATAGTGGGATCTCTTCTCAACCTGAAAAGCAGACAAAATGCAAAAAATCGCCTTAGCTTCTGCAAAATGACACAAGAGTACCGCAGTACTATGTGCTGAAGATATGCAGTAAATAATAACATAATAGGCAAGCATTTCAATGGGTATGCAGTTGCAAAAGAAGGGGACAGCTTAATTCAGAGTAAATATAAACAAAATTACCAAGGTACACTCTACTGTGCAGGTAAGAACTAATGGCCTCTGCAGAGCAGTAAAGCTTTCCTTCTTGGTGGTGGTTTTTTTTTTTTTTTTTTTTTTGCTCAAGCAGGCTTGGCTTTACTGCATGTGCAACAGGAATCCACCTTGGGAGGAAGAATTGGAAGAGGAAAACGGTATTTATTTTTGGTGTCTGGTGGAATGAGGAAAAGAGCCAGTCTGAAGACAGTAACTATTTAAGAGACTATTAATTATCAATCTCTTCAAAGGGAAACTAAATCAGAGAATTGACAGAATAACTGAATCTGTCACTCAGGGTTTTGTTTAGTTCTGACCAAACTGTGTGTGGTTAAACCATAATAATCAATATGATAATAAAAAAAACCCTACTGCTTTCATTCACATTTTTCATTGACTTTTCCACATCTAAATTTACTTCCTAGTTTCCACCCCCCCCCTCCTTTGTGATATTAGCCCTTTTGAAGCACCAAGAGTATGTGTTATCAGTGAGGTAGAGCACTGTGCTTGCATTGAGAGCAATCCAGTCAGGATCAGTGGACAACGTTTAACCAAATTATTATTTAAATTTTATCTGTCTTACATCAAAAGGAACAGTAGATTGTTTTATATTTCCCCAACTTTGGCAAAATCTGTCTACTCAGATGTGGCTGTTATCATAGTCATGTTTGTAATCGCAGATTGGATTTTAGGCTGCTTTTGCTGATTTTTGGAAGGCTTACTGTTACTTCAGAGCATGTTTTCCCATCTGTTCACTGTGAATTTACTTGCAACCCTTAATCCTCCCAACCTCTCCTCTCAGACAAGACAAAATGGTACCTTATAGTATGTGTGTTTGCCTGCAAAATTCTCCAGAAATGTGCCATCTGTTGCTAAGTGCCCAAAGCAGCAATGATAATGACAGTGGCTTTGAAGCAAAACCACATTTACTTCAGCCCTACTGTGGTGGACAGTAGATCTCTGAATTCAATATTTTGATAGCTGTTTACTTTTAATGCCACGTGTATTTTCTAATACAGGGGTTCCAAGAAGATTTGAAAATGTAGGTCAGTTTTGGGTAGATTACTTAGCAGAAATTCTCACTGTAAGTGTTATTTATGCAAGTGTCAATATTCAAATCTAGGAACTGTCTGGTATAATGGCACACATCCCAAAACTACTGTTTTTTTGGGAGAGGTAGTTTGATAAAGGGGAAATGCTTGCCTTAGACAACTTTGAAAAGAACTGACAATCCACCATATTTCAAGGAAAAGAGATGCAACGACGGAGCTTTACACTGAGAGCCACATCCAAAAAAGACTGAGACAAATACGTACAAACCTATGATGGAAGAAAACACCTGATAGCTGCTACACCACAGAGTTGCCCAACTTTGCTTCTGTCTCTCCTTTGAATTTCTGTGTGTCTGACATCTTTTTTGTTGGATGCATGCAGGTGCCATTAGCCTGGATGAACTGAGCATGGCTCATTCTTCAACCCCACTGGAAATGGTCCCTAACGTGTTCAGCTCAGTCTTCACCAAGTGCCATGTTTCTGGGACCACCGTGCTTCTGGCATGCAAGCCAGTTGATTTAAGTAATAGCATACTGTGCTGCAATCTGCTGTATAATTACACACTTAATTAGATTCACAGTGTGTTACCTATGTCACACTGTGACAGGGCTTGTTGCTTTTTATGAGCAAAAAAAATTCTTCAGGCTATAGCTTAGAAAAGCATCATGAGGGTCGATTTTTCTCCCTGAAGGTGTGAGTTCCTTTTAGAAGAATCTGCAGAACAGATTAAAACTCAAGTAGTCACTGCTTATTAAATGTCTGTGGTTAACACCCCCCAGCTGAAAGTATACCTTTGGGCTTGCAAGGAAAAAACCTTGAGAACAAGATGATAATGGCACACACACTGCTATAGGATAAGCAAAGGTAGGAAATTGCAGTATGCAAGTTCTGGGGTAGCTGCTTGGTTGTGAGACCTTGCAGTACACTGCGACATTTTATATCTCTGTTCTCGAGGGATGAATTCATACTTCACATGGGCAAATAGGCTCTTACTTGCTCTTTTACAGTATTCCTCACTTCAAAGAATCTTCCTTATGTACCTTAAATTTGCCTTCAAACTGTATGTGCGATGGGTACTGCTTGTGTGTGTAGCCTTAATGTAACATTGTTGTTCTCAAACAATAGTATGTTTTGGAATGAAAGCATCGGTTCCGAAAATGTTAAAATTATTTTCACTACTGCTTTTTGAATGATCTTCAGAAGGGAGTGCAAAAGAAGGTAGGGCTCTCTAGAACAAAGAAACAAGACAAGTTCAAGAACGACAGGGAACTGCTGGAGAGAGTCCAGCGTAGGGCTACAAAGATGATCAAGGGAGTGGAGCATCTCCCTTATGAGGAGCGGCTGAGGGAGCTGGGTCTCTTTAGTTTGCAGAAGAGGAGACTGAGGGGAGACCTCATTCATGTTTATAAATATTTAAAGGGTGAGTGTCACGAGGAAGGAGCCAGGCTCTTCTCGGTGACAAACAATGATAGGACAAGGGGTAATGGGTACAAGCTGGAACACAGGAGGGTCCACTTAAATTTGAGAAGAAACTTCTTCTCAGTGAGGGTGACAGAGCACTGGACCAGGCTGCCCAGAGAGGTTGTGGAGTCTCCTTCTCTGGAGACATTCAAAACCCACCTGGACGCCTTCCTGTGCAACCTCATCTAGGTGTTCCTGCTCCGGCAGGGGGATTGGACTAGATGATCTTTTGAGGTCCCTTCCAATCCCTAACGTTCTGCGATTCTGTGAAGACCATTTACCTTTTGCTGGCAGCTACAGGTAGAAGTTTAAGGAAGTAAAGGCAACATGAATGTTCATTGCCATTATTTGTCTGGTAATGTTGGACAAAAGGTAAACTATTAGTTTTGTAATTTGGCAGTTCTCTGATGCTTGAAATTCAAATAACTTTATGTTCATGTACAGTAAGGAAGCTGGTGATTGTGTGATAAATAT